TGGGTTGTTGGAAGTGAAGCAGTGAGCATTCCCTCCAGCAGGTGCAGAGGGAGTCGGACACGTGAGTAGGCAGATGCAGAAGGGTCTGGGGGTTCGGCTTGTCCTCTCTGCTCTGTGTCCAGCTCATACCTCAGGTCCCAGCCCAGCTAAGAACCAGGTACGTGGGGGTGAACACCACACAGAAGACACTGCTTCCCATGACTTGTCCCCAACTGTCATCGTCCCTCTTCCAAGGTCTTCTCAGATCACTTGATGACACTTCGCTGCTCTCCCAGCTCCCCTTCTAACTTTCCCTCCCCAGCTAACCTCGGTCTAATTCTAATCCTGATAGGAATCCTCTTCTGTGGGCATCCGGAGCCCCGCACTCCAGCACATGGAAACTTCCTGAAGCTCCCTTACCTCAGGCTTCCCAGGGCCCCAAGACAGGAAAGAGGGCGTAATAGCGAGGGAGACTGTGAACACAAAAGATCATTGTACTCTGCTATGTCACTGTCCTAGTAGGAGAGACATGAGAGGGAAAGTGAGAGATCACCCCCAGGGGAGATGGCCATGCTGCAGGCCCTTGTCCATTCTGCTCCCGGGATTTTAGGCTTGCATGTACATGCCTGGGTTTGATTTTCAACCAGCAAGTGATCAGTCATGTGGGAGTCTAGTGCCTTAACACCACCTGCTGGTCGCCATCACTGAATTTTTTAAATGTAGGAGCCCAGGACTAAACAGTAGTGACAATAAAACACAGCACTCTCTAAAGCTGACCCACATGAGAAGGTTCTAGGTTCAAGCCTGGAGACCTCCCTAGGCACAACGGGTACATGGTTCTCCCTGTGTGTCTCTCATTTATGGAAGAAATAAATAACTAAACTTAAAAAAAAAAATACAGGAATTTTTTTGAGGAGGCTGGCAGAGACAGACACTTCTTAGCACTTCATTTTCTCCAAGCTTTGGGATGATCAGCAGTGAGAAGACAGAACTGATGAGTGAAGTTAAACCAGTTAAACCAGTAGCTCCCACGAGCGTGCACGTTTTCTGACATCCGTGGAGACTCCATAAATGCTGAGTGGCAACACAAACCTTTAAAACAACAATGATCATAGATTCGCTCTAAACATAAGGAGGTGAGGACCAAGAGGGCCCGTGGGAAATAAAGAAAATAAGTCACAAAACGACAACCAGGAAGACACTCCCACGGGACAAAGGGGGTCTGTGAGAAGAGAGGGGGCTCTGCCGTCTTGAGGTGGCACTGTTTGCAACGCCAGGGTCTGAGTGGCAGGTGCCCACCTGTGTGAGTAAAGAAGTATATCAGAGGACAGGTGGGCTCCACGCTCCCCACAAAGGGGACAGTCTCTCCTGTGCACCAGGTCCGATGGCTGTGAGAAGCAATGATTAGCAAACAGGAAGAAATTAAAATGTCTCCCACCAACAGGGAAGATAAGCCTTTTATAGGGGCTGGCAGAGCAAGATTATATTTTTAGAAAAAGTTGGCCACAGAAGAACAAAGAAGTCATTCTTTCTTTTCTTTATGTGGTAGTGGGGACTGGGGAGGAGAACTCTGCTCAAGAGAGAGGGCAGCCTTAGGGACTCCGCTGGATTTAACCACCGTCTGTCCCACATCAGCCTGGAGCACTGACTGGGGAGACAGAGACCACGAAAATAAGGCTAGGGGGTGCCTGGGATAGGCCCTCTCAAAAAAAAAAAAAATGCCCTAAGGGACATTTTTGGTATAGGGTGCATGCTCTTGTCAGAGACACAGAGAGAAACAAGGAGAAAGTGAGAAACCATTCCACAGGGGGATAGCCACGCCGCAATCCCATCTCCTCCATTCTCCTGTCAGTATTTTGGGCACATGCACGTGTACACGCACCCAGCATGAGTTTCAAGCTGCCAGGTCCAGGACTTGAACCATGGTAGACCATGTGAGAGATCAGCACCTTAACCTGAATACCCAAAAGTTTTCTGATTTCAGGCCTGGATGGTGATCCAGCCATAATGCAATGCTCTGTGAAGCCAGCTCACGTGGGATAGCTCTAGATTTGCATGTGGAGACCACCCTGCACATGCTGGTCAAGCCCACACCCAAGATCGGGGCTGGCTGGGGCTGGGTGGGTCAGGTGAGCACCCCACTGGGGATACCTGTCTCTTTCTCATGGAAGAAAGAAAAAAAAATCTTTTAACAGCATAAACTTTCCCCTCTCTGGTGCTCACACCAGGTATTGAGGACGGCTCAGGAGTTGAGTAATTCCTTGTTGATCTTGCTTTCCAAGCATGTGTTTTAGGTGCCAGAAAACATTTGCCTAGACTACTTTCATATTTTTATTTAAAATATAAAATATTTATTTTTATATTCTGGACATTTTTCTTTTTTGAGAGGTTTTTGCTATAGGGCACGTGCGCTTACCAGAAAAACAGAGAGAGACGGGGAGACAGAAAGCAAGAAATCACCCCCAGGGGGGATGGCCACGCTGCAATCCCTTCTCCTCCATTCTCCTCTCGGGATCTTGGGCATGCATGCACACGTGCCCGGTGTGAGTTTAAGCCGCCAGGTCTGGGACTCGAACCGAGGTCGACTATGTGAGAGTCCAGTGACATAGCGATTACACTAACTGCTGGTCCCTGGAAATTATTTTAAAACTGGGATTACAAATTACTAAATTTAAACACTTTCCTGCCCACCCCATCCTCAGTGGACATTTTGGCACCAGCCTCAGAACACAGATTCACTGCCCTTTTCTCACCATGGGGAGGCCATCCAGACTGAGACAGACAGGCCTTTCCTTTTTTAAAAAAAATTGTTTTAAGTTTTTTGCCATAGGGTACATGTACTCACCAGAGAGACAGAGAGACAAAGTGAGAGGGAAAGTGAGAAATCACCCCCTGGGGGAGATGGCCATACCACAATCCCTCCTCCTCCATTCTGGGATTTGAGGCATGCATGCATGCATGCCCAGTGTGATTTTCAAGTCACAGGGTCCGGGATTCAAACTGTGCTTAGCCATGTGGGAGTCCAGCACCTTAATCACCATTCCACCTACTGGCCCCTAGATTGTTCTTAAGAAAAATAACTGGCAACTGCTCAGCTTATGATTCAAACTTTTATGCTGACGGTGCCACTGGTGAGATTCTCTCTAAAAGTTGTGCACTGGGATCAGCTGGTGGTGTGGTGATTAAGGTGCTGGACACTCCCACATGGCCGACCATAGTTCAAGTCCTGGACCTAGCAGCTTGCTTTCTCACTTCCCCTCTCTCTCTCAAACTAAAATAAATGAACAAATAAATAAAATTAAACAAATAATTTCTTTAAAAAAGTTGTGCACTGAGGTTGATATGATTAGCAGTGCTAAGACCCTTGATTTGACTTTAAATGTTAACTGTAAAATCACCATATTATTCTCTGACTTCATGAACAGTAAATGTTATAAACTTAAACTAGTAACTAGTATAGTAGCTGCAAGGCTGTGCATAAAAATTTATTTGACAATAGGATCAGTAACTTAAGAAAGAAAAATTCGGGCACCACAGAAGTGGTCCACCTCCTTATTTTACAGATGAGAAAAACAATGCCCTGAAAGAGAAAACAATGAATGGTAGATCCAGGTGTCAGCAGAACTAAGACAGGTGTTAAACCCCTCTCCAAGTCTAATACGATTTATGTTTCAATCTCTTGCTCCTCCCCCCTTAAGAAATTCAGAAATATGGGACCAGCAGTTAGCGTAATGGCTATGTCACTGGACTCCCATGTAGTCAACCACAGTTCAAGTCCCAGACCCGGTGGCTTAAACTCACGCCACGCACATATGTATGTGTGCCCGAGATTCCAAGAGGAGAATGGAGGAGAAGGGATTGCGGTGTGGCCATACTCCCCAGGGGGTTATTTCTCATGTTCTGTCTCTCTGTCTCTCTCTGTCTTTCTGGTGAGCGCTCGTGCCCTATAGCAAAAATAAAAACAAAACAAACAAATAAACAAACAAAAACAAAAACAAAAAAAACCCTCCAAAAATAAAAAGAATAAAACAACAAAAAAAGAAATTCAGAAATATGTTGGGATTTCAAGTTTACTCCTTAAGGGAATAAGCTTCTCCTATAGAGAAGCTCTGTGTTATGGCTAACCACAAAAATATAAAACATAAAAAATGTAAAGGCCGTACCTGCTCTGCAGGTGGCACGTGGACAAGCTGGCCTAAGGCCTGGCCCCTCCCTGATGACACCAGGTCTCCTCAGGACACATGGCCCTCTGTGAGGACAGCTACCCGAGGGCTCAGAGTAAACAGGTAGTCAATGCTCCCCAATGCACAGACCTAGGCTGGCAGTCAGGGGGCAACGTCCACATCCCAGTTTCATCACCAACTCACCAGCCACCTGAGGACATTCAATCACATTTTGATCTAGATTCACCAGAAAAAAGATTGAAAAGCAGAATGACCTAAAAAAGAAAAAGGCCATTTGCTGTGAGCATGGAAGATAGGTGCCCAGAAATGACAGAGAAAAGAGAAGTGGCATTACAGTGGCTGCAGAGGCTAGTGAACTGTGTGTAGGGCTTTTTGGTGTCTTTGGCTGCCGACAGCTGACTGCTCCCCACTGCAAAAGCAGCAGCACAAAGCCTTATGCTCAGGCCAGATGGGTCTGGGCTCCTGGCCTGCGGACTGGCTCTCTGACTGAGAAACCAGTGGACCCTCAGCCCCGTGAGTGATTAGAGGCTAAAAACACTTAGGGTTTAAAAGGTACCTTTAGGGCCAGCAGGTGGCATACTGGGAAATGTGTTGAACTCCCATATGGCTGACCACAGTTTGAGTCCTGGAACTGGTGGTTTGAAAACCATACTGGGCACATGTGCACATGTGTGTGCATACCTAAAATCCCAGGAGAATGGAGAACGGATAACAGCGGTCATCCCTCTGGAGAGTGATTTCTCACTTTCCCTCTCTGTCTCTTTCTTCTCCGGTGAGTACATAGGCCCTATGGCAAAAAAAAAAAAAAGCGCTTTAAAAAGGTTTTTAGCTCTCCCCTGTCCTGCTGTTGGTTGTCCCCCTACACCTGACATTTTGGAAGAGGAAACTCTAATTCAGCAGTCACCAACCTTTTTTGGAACCAGGGACCAGTTTAGTGGAAGATAATCTTTCCATGGATTGGGTAGAAGGGGTGGGTGGTTTCAGGATGAATCAAGCACATCACATTTACTTTATTTCTATTATTATTACATTCAAATATATAATGAAATAAGTATGCAAGTCACCATAATACATTATTTGCAGCCACTCCCCAGTGCTAGCATCACTGCCTCTGCTCACACCATCACACATTAAGAGTCTCATAAGGAGCATGCCACCCAGACCCCTCACATGCACAGTTCACTGTAGGACAATGGAATTTGCACTCCTATGAGAATCCAATACCGCTGCTGATCTGACAGAAGATGAAGTCAGGCAGTAATACAAGCGATGGGAAGTGGCTGTAAATACAAATGAAGTTTTGTTTGCTTGCCCACCACACACCTCCTGCCATGTGGCCCAGTTCCTAACAGGCCATAGACCAACACCTGTCTGAGGACCTGTGCTCTAATGGATAAGACATTCTCAACCAATTTATTAACTTGATTGATCTGTAGGCTTGAGAGCTTGGGAAAGTTGTGTCAAATAAGCAATGAAGCAAACAAACAACAGAATCGTTCCTTATTCAAGAGGCCAGGTGGTGGTGTAGTTAACACAATGGTACCCATATGGGAAAGGTCCTAGGCTCGCATCCTGGGGCTTCTCTGAGCATGCCAAGTACACACATCCTGTGTGCTGTATGAGTCTGGGGGTGGACCATAGCATGAAGACCTGGTGGGAAGTACCTCTTTCTCTGTCTGTCATACAAGGGAATAAATAAACAAATAAATAACTCTAAAAAGAAAAAGGAGAAGAATTCCCACCAGAAAGGCTGGGTTCTTCCACATTCACTGGCTTCACTGTGACTACCCAGGTGGGCGCTGACACTCCTGGCAACCTGCCTCTTTGGCTTCTGCTCCTGTTTACCTGCTTTATCAAGAAGGGGGCAGTGTGACAGTGTTTTGTGGGGCATTAATAAAGATAAGAGAGGCCCTAGCTACCAAACAGAGTTTTCAAAACCCCTCCCCTGGTTTCCCTGGCTGCAGGGCTGCGTGCACAGACACACAGAACCGCTGATGCAGGAACTATTACGGCCATCCGATTATTGTCATTGTAATGCCTATTCAGCCGGCCCTTTGTAAGTTGCTAGAGGGCAGGGACCGTGTTTTGGGCTGCTTTTCATGAATGCACGCCTTTCTGCCTCCATTCACTCACCCTACAAACATTTATTGAGTGCAGCCGTCCCAGTGCCGGCCACCATGCCAAGGACACAGAAGACACTGCATGCCCTGTGTCCTCAGCAGCTCCAGCCACCCGGCTGCCAGCCCTCACCCATCCTTCCAGGAACAGAGCCCCAAGCAGGGCATGGACTGCATCATCTTGCAGGAGCCAGACGGCCATGGGGCAAGAGGTGGCGTCTTCCTCATTCATTTCATCCAAACTTCTAGAACGTGTGTGTCCATATTCTTTCTATAATGGAAACAGCAATCTAATCAAGTCTACTTTTTAAACCAGCGATTTTAAACCTAAAATTATACTTTCTTCATCCTTGGCTGCCTGTTGGAACCACCTGGGAATGCTAAAATGCTGATGAGGGTCTCATGTATGGTGGGTCTGGCTTAACTGGGCCTGGGCATTTGGGAGTTTTCAAAACTCAGCAGGAGAGTCCACCCTGTGACCAGGTGGAGAACCACTCTTTGAACTCAAAAGAGAACAGAAGGCTGTAGGCTCAGGAGCAGGAATTGCTCCCATATTTGTTACTCTGTGGACTGCCCATGTAATTTAGAATCCCAAGATCCAGAATCTCTCTGTCCTGACCCCGCACTTTCTCTTAAGAAGGAGATCTTGTTGAGGCATCAACACTTACTGCCATAGGGTAGCTTTTAGGAGATGCCAGGAGGGTTTGCAAAGGGACCCCTAGATGATTCTTGACAAACAGCGGGGACACATACCCGGGTCTTAGAAGTTCATCCCAAAGGTGGTGCCGGGGACAAAGATGACGCCTTGAAAATACAGATCAGGGGAACCAGCAGTTAGCATAATGGCTATGTCGCTGGACTCCCACATAGTTGACTGCGGTTCGCGTCCCGGACCTGGTCGCTTAAAACTCACTCTGGGCATGTATGCGTGTGTGCCCAAGTTTTAAAAAATAACTATTTATTTAATTTTATTTATTGTTATTATTATTATTTTAATTCACCAGAGAGAGACAGAGCAAGAGAGGGAAAGTAAAAATGCAAGCCACCAGGTCCAATACTTGAATAGCAGCCGGCCATGTGGGAGTCCAGCTCCTCAACCATCACATCACCTGCTGAGCCCCAGCCATTATTTGTTTAAAGAAGAAGGCCAGCAGGTGGCAAGGTAGTTAAGGCACTGGATTCCCACGTGGTCGACTGTGGTTCAAGTCCCAGACCCAGTGGGTTGAAAGTCACATCAGGCATGCGTGCATGCATGCCCAAAACTCCTGAGGAACAAATGAAGAAGAGGGGATTATGGTGTGGCCATGTCCCCTGGGGCATGATTTCTCATGTTTCTCACTCTCTCTGTCTCTCTCCACAAGCACACATGCCCTATGGGAAAAAAAGAGAGAGAATAAGTTTGATGAGGGTGTGATTGACACACAGTATGTTGCTGATAGGACAGTGACATGGCAGGTGTTAGAGATGACAGCGCCTACTGATGGTGTTCCTAAGGCATTGCCACCAATGGTTTGTTGATGCCTTAGAAAAAGCAACAAAGAATGACCCAACTATTCTACTCGTAGGTCTATACCCCCAAAGAATTAAGCACAAGGAGTCAAAAAAATAAACGGGTCCTTGAGATCAGCAATCGGCATAATGGCTATGATTCCCATATAGTGGCCGCAGTTCAAGTCCCAGACCAAGCATTCCATATAGTGGCCGCAGTTCAAGTCCCAGACCCAGCGTTTTAAATTATCGCCAGGCGTATATGCGTGCATGCCCAAGATTCTGAGAGGAGAATGGAAGAGAAGGGATTGCGGCGTGGCCATCCCCCTATGAGGAGTTATTTCTCTTCCTGTCTCTCTGTCTCTCTCTGTCTTTCTGGTGAGTGTACACGCCCTATAGCAAAAACTGCTCCCCCCCCAAAAAAAATAATTAATAAATAAAAAAATAAAAAGTTTCCTCAAAAATTTAGTGGAAATTTCATATTCTGAAAAAATCATGCATGGATTTAAAAATGTTTTTGCACCAAAGTAAGCTCATAGTTTTATTCCATTTTCCATAAACTTCCTGATGTCTCCTGCTACATGTACACGTGTTCATAAAGTGTTATTCACAAGAGCCAAGGACGGGAAAGGCCCAGCCAGAACAGATCATCCATGGTCTACATGTACCCACGATATCCGTATCACACCCATTTAATGTCAGATTACCTTGGAAAGCATATAGGGTTGCCAGAAAAGTCACGATATAGTTTTTGTTTTCTTTTTTTCTTTTTTAAAGAATTCTTTTATTTAATTAATTAATTTATTTGTTTATTCATTTTCATTTGACCAGAGAGGGACAGAGTAAGAGAGAGTGAGAGAGGGAACGTGAGAAAGCAAGCCGCCAGGTCCAGGACTCGAACAGCAGTCGGCTGTGTGGGAGTCCAGCACCCTTAACCACCACACTACCTGCCGGTCCCTTTTTTCTTTTTTTCTATGCAAAAGTGCATTATGACTTTTCTGACAACCCAAATGTGTGGTGTGTCAAAATTAAAATCTAAAGAACATTGAACATTGAAGCAGGAAGGAATTGTTCTTCCTAAGACCCCCAGCCGTGGCCACTGACCTACTAGAGCACTCCTACAATGGTAATTCTGCCTGGAAATTCCCA